TTTCAATTTGAGGACAGTGCAGATGATTCAGAAAGAGTTAGATGATATATCCCATCAACATCATGGTGTTTGGAGTAATGACTAGTGATGGCAATGTTGTACCTCCATTCATCTTCCCACAGGGCTTCAGATTCAACATGGAGGCCTACATCAAGTGCCTTGAGAAGGTAGTGCTGCCCTGGGTCAAGAGGGTAGCTGCTGGAAGACCCTATGTCTGGCAATGGGACTCTGCACCATGCCACACAAGCAGGAGAACCCAGTCATGGCAGCCAGACAATTTCTGCAACCACATCACCCATTACATCTGGCCAGCTAACTCCCTAGACTGCAACCACCTTGATTAATATGTGTGGGGTGCAGTTGAGCAAGAGACCAACAAAACTCCTTTTAACACCAAAGATGAAAGCAAGGATTATGGCAGTATTCACCAACTTAAACAAGGAGACCATCCAGAAGAGTTACAGGAGATTCCAAAGTGTAGAGGCGTTGGTGATTTTATGAATAAATTTACTCTTTAGTATTTTAAGATATCTTTGTGTAATTTTGGTAAATATAGTTGTTAAAATGAGATGTCGGTGTTATTTTCATTTTTGCATAATTTAGACGACAATTTATCCATTGCACCCTGTATATACCTATGATAAAGTTTGATTTATAAATTAGGCACAGTAAACTATTAAGAAAAATATCTAATAACTAACCAATTATAATAATATTGAAATAAATGTTGTGTAATGAATAGAATATTCTTATCAGAGATCTTATGACACAATAAGAGATTAACAGCAATCTTATTATAATTCTGCTTGCCCCCCTTCCCCTTAGTTAACACAATTGTTACACCCTGCCAATACCTCATAAATATTGGACTATTCCATTTTATCATGTGGAAAGACAGAAAAGACATCAGAGATGCTACTTGGTTTCAGTGAGAAAAAGAAAGAAACGCCCTGCCAATACCTTATAAATAATGACCTCTTCCATTTTGATTGTGAGGAATGACAGCAAAGATATATCAGAGATGCTGTTTGATTTCAGTGAGAAAATGAAAGAAAGAAAACAAAATTCAAACAGGGAAGCCATGAAATTCGAACAGGTACTACTCATTATTTTTTAAAACTATTAATAAACCAGAAAAATTTATTTTATCATGATATAAGAGTAATATGAGTTTTGTTTTTTGGGGGGTTTTTTTGAAAGCATCATCTAAACAAAAAAATAAATAAATAGATGAATAATAAGGATTTTTTTTTTGTTCCGTGATGGAAGATTGATTTAAAATTAAAATTGATTTAAAAGCAGTAAGAACAAATCTCCAATCCATCACATAACTTTTATATTAAAGTATAATATTATAATTATTCTATTTTATTATTAGTTACTTGCAGGACCTATGTAAGTTACATGGATTTACTAATAAATTTTGTAATGCTGCAATTTTCAACTCAACCATTCCCAAATAGTTATAAGAAAAGTGACACACTCTCTTAAAATACTGAAATGTTGTATGACACACAGCTTCTTTAATAAACTTTCCATAAAATTCAATGTAATAAATATAGATTATATACATTCTCCACACATGAAACATAATATTAGAATTGTTTTAATTTTTCTCAACTGAGGCATGGATCATTGTCTAATCTGGAGATGTATGTGTGCATTAGAGATAGCAATAAAAATGTTTTTTTGTGATTTATCTAGTTTTATTCCAAAGATTGTTGCATTATTAATGTTTTTTATAAAGATTTTAATAAATTACAATAAGTTTTAGAATATCAGTCATGCCAAAGAAACACAAAATATATCTATTTATACATGATGATAGAAACATGAAGTGCGATCAAGTTACTCACAAATGAATATATTCTAATGTTGGCCGATATTACATACATATGGACACATGCTTAGGTCACACGTGAACATCAGCAAAAGAATGGGATTTTTTTAATGGAATTTTTAATACATCCATAAATATTTAAAAGGAAATGATGGTAAAAGTTACTACACCAATAGTGGTAGTGGGATAAACTCAGGTCCAGTGCCCAGGCATTATGGTAAACTCTGAAAATGCAAAACTATGCAAGCTTGACTGTTCCCCTAGTGCGGCTATAGTAATTTGTATCATATTACTTCAGTATACATAATATTTCTAGTATATAAGCAAATGACATAGATCATATACAAGAAAGAAGTAGGCTGATATACGGGCTTAAATAAACATTTTATTTGAAAAATAACTATGGATTACATTAATTTGTGCCTGAAGATGTGTAAAATCATAGAAAGATCAATTTCAGCCAAGTAGTTCACATGTTAAAATTGGTACAATAGAAATTCATTGTAAATGAATACCCCATCATGGAATCAAAACAAACCAACCTTTATATATATATATATATATATATATATATATAGCTACAATGAGCATCATGATAATAAAAAAAAATGTTCTAGTTTATTAATAATTTTTAAAAGTCACTAGTAGTACGCATGAAAATTTCATGGCTTTGCTGTTTAAATTTTGTTTCCTTTCTTTTTTTTTCTCACTGAAATCAAACAGTGTCTCTGGGTTTGTCTTTTCCGTCTTTCCACACAATCAAAATGGAACAGTCCATTATTTACAAGGTATTGGCAGGGCATTTCTTTTTTCCTCTCTTTCTTTTGCTCACTGAAACCAAGTAGAATCTCTGATATATCTTTTCCATCTTTACACATGATCAAAACAGAGTAGTCCATTATTTATGAGGTATTAACTGGATATAACAGTCATGCTAAGGGAGGGCCAAGCAGAATTATAATATGTTCTAATAAAACTTAGGTGATGGAAGATTTGTTCTTACCATAGAACTTATTAGACACAATAAGAGATTAACCACAATAACTAATAATAAAATATAACAATTATAACAATATATAGTTATATATTTTATGACAGATGAGTTCCTTTTATTATAGACTAGCAGCATGGCCTGACAATGCCCGTGCTTGATTCAAAAATCGTACAACTTATACAGCAATCGCTATCACTTGACTTAAAATATTTTTGCCCTTCCTTGCCTTTAAAGGAGTGCCCTTTGCCGTGCTGATATTGCTACATGCCTTACTGCGAATTTTTTCTAAGCTCTATACTAAACATTAAATCTATTACGAAAAAAGAACTAAACAAAATGAACACAAAACAATCAGCTTTAAAAAAGGACTTATAACTAGAAAAACTGAATGAAAAAAGAATGTTAACAACAAATACTTTTTCACACCCAACCCAGCTCTGCGGAATCAGAATCAATATTGAGTTTAAGCAAGCGAATGAGCCAATTGGAGTAAAGTGCCATGCAGATTTAAATTTTTCCCACTTATGACGAATGCAGCTATCGATATTTTTTTTTTTTTTTTGCATGCTAGCATGCTAGTTAACATTCGTGTCAGTCAGCTGTTGGCTCTCATGCTGGCCAATAGAATCTTCCTGCCTACTTGTGGCAGCCAGCTATAGGCTCTCACTCTGGCCAGTAGAAAATGGCCACAAACTACATGAAAAATGCCAGAGAAGCATGAAAAAATCGATTATTTCCACTATCGATGGGAGTTGGGAAATGCAAAGTCGGTCTTGGCCTTCCCACTAACTTGGAGCATGTGCATGTAAATTTTGGTGCAAATCCGCCATCAAAAATTGCGGCTATGCATTCGTTACACACACGCACACCCACACATCCTGCCTTTTATAGATAGAGATCTTAGCAACCTCAGCATACAATATTTTATTTCCTTATTGAAAATGCTCAATCTTTATAGTTTCTCTTTGCCATATGTGAATTACCAGTATCCCTACTCCTGTGTTTTGAGACCATTGTTAAGTAAAACTTATAAATTATTTAGGGTTGACCACTGGTAACTGAAACCAGTGGTAACAGGTACCATTGTGGATACAAAGCTTATTATTATCACTGTTGAAAGTATGTATTGCACCAATTTTCCAAGTGAGGAGGGACTGATTACCTTTAGAATGAATATTTAAAATCCTAGCTTTTTACTAAGGTTAATTTATAAATTAGGAACAATAAGTGATTAACAACAATGAATGTAATTGTATAATGTGCCTAACTGGAATTTGAAATGAGCTCTCTGATTAACAGTTCCAAGCCATTATCCCTTACAGCATCTGGTATTTCCAAGCAGCCACCCATCAAGGTACTGACCAGGCTCAACATTGCTTAAGTTCTGCGATCATAAAGGAACCTTAATTTTAAGAAATCACATATGTGCATATTTATTATGGCTTTTGTAGCTTTTAAGCCTCTTTATTAAGTTTTATAAAATTTAATAAAAAAAATTTCTCTGGTATTCATGTTGAATATTCTATGGAGTACTTAATCTATAGTAATAGGAAAAAAAATTGGAAAAATGATTATTTCTGGTGACAGTGCCTATTGTACAACTCTACCCTTTCTCCCTTCCTTATTAAGTTGAGAACTTTCAAATTTCTACACTATTTACATTATTCGGGCTATTGTCCTCATCTATAGACTGTTCTAGTTCCACGTGCCATGTTTAATGGATGTCAGTTATCCCCTGTTAATTCCATTCTCCACGGCACGTGGAACTAGAACAGTCTACCCCAGTAAGCGAAATAAAGGGTTCAGTTCAACATTCCAACCACCTGAAGAAGGTTAGAGATTACAACGGCTGAAACGTAATAAATGTGGTGACAAAGATGAGGACAATAGTCCGAATAATGTAAATAGTTTACATAATACTTCATCTAAGAAATATAGACAGATTTCAAATTCCTACTTAAAAGAAGCATTTTATGTTTTCTCCTTAGCATATCTGAATTGTCAACATAACTGTTGTAATTTGGGACTATTTTTTGAGCAAAACTTATTGTTTATCTCTGGGGTTGACCACAGGTAACCAAAACTGAGAGCGAAGCAAAACCACATTTGATTGTTAGGGAGGGACTATAAATATCTTTGCTTGATTACTTTGTTTTTTCATTTCAGGAGATCAACATTCCTACAATCAACTTTGAAACCTTCATCAGTTCCCTGAACAACCAAGGTTATTTACTCAAAAAAGGACCCAAAGTATATCAACTGCAAGTTGTGGATTACTGAACCATTTTGTGGCAAGCTCCAAGCAGTCCAAAGTTCCTTTTAGCTTATGAATTATTTAGACTAATATCCTCATCATTATTGTTTCAATCCCTAAATTTCTACTGGTTGGTTCCCCAACCTTTCTCAGGTGTATGTGACATCTACTAATCTTTGAATAGAATGTCTTCTCATTCAGATTTTTTCCACTAACATTCAACATCAATCTGTTTACAAGCATTCGCAAATCTGTGTGGTGAACTTGTCTTTGATTTATATGCATATATACATTATATATAGCCATGTTTTTGCTTTGTTGAGACTGGACCAGGATTAATCTTGCACAAAACATGGTGGGTCCTGCCTGACAGAGGATTTGTCATAATGATTTGAGGCAAGTTTTTGCAAGGTTGGATGCTCTTCCTGATGCCAAATGCCAAACTCAGACTCTCATGGTAGTCCAAGTACACCATTTCTTGTAAGGTTGCTATTCAAGGCTTGAAACCCACATCCTAGCTATATATATATATATATATATATATATATATATATATATATATATATATATATATATATATATATATATATATGAGACAGAGAGACACACACACACAAACGTTGGCCATTGGCTCCTATAAGAACCTCATCTGCCCTTTCACAGATTTTGTTTTCATATGTGGGGCGACATGCCACCCTCCTCACTGCAGAAAACTTAGTGGGGAGCTGCTTTAGATGACAACCACCCATCCATGCAGCAGGTTGTACGGGCTTACATGTTACCAGTAGCAGACCTGACCTGATTTGACCCCCCCCCCCCAATATTCCTCTATAAAAAAAAAATCCAAGAATAAAACATTTTTATGTCCTTAACATAAAAAGTTTACTTCAAAGATTACTAAATGTAGCATACTTGGAAAGGACGAGCGAACTCATTATCTGAAATAATAAAGACGAGGATACCAGTTTGAAAAATTTCTAGAGTTATGAAATATTTCATCTCAGGATTTTAGCAATAAAAGACCCTTTTGTCTGAAAAGAGTTCTTATATAAACCATTGAACCTGACAATGATGCATATTAATTCTCAAAATTTAACTGAAGTATGATCAGACAAACCATAATTCATTCAATGAAAATTAACTACAATTGCTTGAAGTTGACATTTTACATTTGTTTAAAAAAGAAGAAATTTTATGTTTTGAATATTTTAAGCTGAGTTGTTAATATTTGAAAAGTTTTAACTTATTTTATGTAACAATTCATTAAAAAATAAATTATTTCTGTTTGAATTGCTGAGACGAGCAGTTATCATTATTTACCTTTGGACTAATGTCCTCGTCTTTTGTTTTTACTATCAAAAACTTTCAGCTGTTGTGCCCTCAGACCTTTTTCAGGTGTCTGTCAATCCAGGTACCCTTCAGGGAATTTTGAACTACAGTAATCCCTTACTGTCTTGTGGTTCACCTTTTGTGGTCTCAGTGTATCATGGATTTTTAAAAATATTCAATGTAAATTAATATTGCGGTTCCCTTGATACATCACAGGTTTCTGTGACTGATCAAAATTTGGCTTAGTTTTCCCAGATGATTTTGTACATGCAACAATATTTACCGATAGAGGAGACATGACCAATGAGAGCATGCTTGTTCAGTATCCTAGCTGATTGACTTAATGACCACAGCCTCAGTTCCCAGCATCTTATCTTTTGTCATCTCACATCACTCAGTTATTTCAAGGACTATGATGTCGCCCAAATGTTCTGCACCTTCTAAGCCTTCTGGCAGTAAATCCAAGTGCCAGAGGAGGATGCTTACTGTAGTGGAGAACGTGAAACTCCTTGATATGCTGAAGGAAGAGAGAAGCTATGTGGCTGTTGGCTGCGCAACGAATCCAATGTTCGCTACATCAAAAGGACGAAAAGAATATAAGGTCAACGACAAAAACCAAATAAGAATCTTCTGCCAGTCCAGTGGATGCACAGCCAGAAGGCTTGGATAATGAAACGACTGGTTTCACCAAAGTTCAACCCCGAAGTCAAGCTTTATCTCACTGAAAAAGGACTCAAATTCAAAGTGCTTCTCCTCGTGGACAATGCTGTAGGTCATGTGCTCGACCTGTCATACAATAGTGTACAGATTGAATTCTTACCACCAAACATCACATTGTTTATCCAGCCCGTGGATCAAGGCATCATTTACGCTTTTAAGGTGCTCTACATGTGAAATTCCCTGCAACACCCCCAGTAAGCTATGGACTTGGATGATAACTTCTCACTGATGGAGTACTGGCATAGGTACACAATTGCAATGTGTTTCCAAAATATTCAGAAGGTCATAAAGGAGATGAAGACTGAGACTTTGAATGCCAGCTGGAAAAAATTGTATCCAGAAGCAGACGCCCATGACTATAAAGGATTCTGTCCTGACAAAAGCCCCCACTTCCCAGTAGATAAGGCAGTGAAGCTGTTAAAATTTCTAGGAGGAGATGGCTTTAGAGATTTGACTTCTGAGGACATTAATAACCTAATCGAGGCCCACTCAGATCTGTTAACAGAAGATCTTAGGGAGATGACAAAGTCAGCAAGTAAAGAATAAGAGGATCTAGGGAAAGAAGTTGGCTTGTCACTGGAATGTCTCTCAACCTTAAAAAGAACAGGAAAAGAAATGCAGAGAACGGCGGAAGAATGGAACCCCCAGATTATTTATGTGTTGCAGTTCAGAAATGCAATCGACAGAGCCTCATTTGCAAAAACCAGAAATGGCAGCTACTGCTTCTGTGGTAATTGAAGTTACAGAGGAGGATAAAGATGAAGATACTGCATCACCTGCTAAAGTGGTACCTTTAGAAGAGCTGTAATGCTCTTTGTTTTTAAATGAATGTATTTTTTTTTAATACATAAGGATGTTTCTAAAGGTAAGTTTGATTTTTAAAATGTTTAAAAAGTGTTTAAGAGTGTAGAAAATGTTTATAAGAGTGTGTGGCGGTTTTATAAAAGCTTTAATATATAAAAATATTTAAAATATATACATTATAATACCCTGATGAATCACTTTAACTAATCCTGTTTCTACTTCATGGATTTTCACCTATCGCAGGGGGTTCTGGAATGTAACACCTACAATAGTCAAGGGATTACTATAAACCCTTTATTCAATCTATGGGAGTACGTTCTCATTTTGCTGTCGATGTCTAGGGGTATTTTGTTTTGGTTTATTGCTAGTACTGTTTCTACAGTATCTGAGTAAAATATGTACTATCCAACCTAGGAATTGAACTTATGATTACTATGTTATCATAATCCTCTAAGACATTGTCCCGTGGAACATTCTTGAAGTTAGAATTTTGAGCCTTAAATTTAACATTCTTCTAACTTCCTCTGCTGCTGCTGCTGCTGCTGCATTGTTATCAAGCTTGGTTCTCTCTGCTGCTTCTTCTCTTTCATTTGTTTTACTTTTCTTTGCTACTGCAGTCTTTTTGCCATGATCAGATATGCCTGATTTCATTGTCTCACTCTTAATTACAGCTTTTTGATATTTCTTCAACCTTACTTTTACGGATCAGTTGGTTTCACTTTTTAAATTTCATCTTTGATTTCACTTTTGAATATAAAAGTAAAACCAGATTTATTGAATTTCAGTTGTTACTCTGAAAGGGATGTTTGATACTGATCAGTAACTGTTGGTATATGGCTGCATTGCCTAAAAGTATGACTAGGTAAACACTGAAAAGTCATAATTAGTGGTGAAACAATGGAATCAGGCATGGATGATCATGTATGGAAATGAAATGAAGGAAAGAAACACTGGAAAATGAGATGTCTGAAGGAATTAGCACTTATGTTAATCTATGACAGCCTCCTCAGTAGGCCTTGCATAGATATAAATACAATATGGGTGCTGTTAAGAAAGATCATCATGTGCCAGAAATACCAGTAACAAATAACATTATTCTTGATCTCTGTGATTAATAGTCGCCAGTGAATTACCATATTTCCCAATTCAAAGCCTACCACAATTTGGTGGATGAGGGGAGGAAAAAGAAACCTAAAAGGAAGGTAAACTTCAGCTTGGAGGAGACAGAGTAATTTTTAGAGACTTATTCCTGGAGGGAAAATATTGTATTCAATATCAAGAAAGACAGTGTATTGACAAAGGAGACACTACTGAAAAATAAATATTTGTGCAATTTTTTTTTTTTTTTTTACATCATTAGGCTATGGACTTTTATATGAAATGCAGAAAAATCATTAAGTTTGGAGCCTGACATGTATTTATTAGCTGAATTTTAATTTGAAAATTTGACTATAATCAATTTATGTAATTAATATTCACCTGAATTAAGTACATGGATAATAAAGTGAATTATACTGTAGCATGGATCAATTTATCTTGTGAGATAATAGTGTCCTGTTTGGTCATAATTCTGTCCTTTTTGTAAGCAGCCTGGAGTGGTGTAATAGTCTGATCTTTGCATTGCAGTTTCTTTTGGAAGTATGATAGATGAAGATGGAAAGTTCTCTTTGCTTCCTGCATCGTCTTCTGATGTCTAGCAGTTGGTCTTGCTTTTTCTCACCTTTCAACTCTGCCTTGAACAACACAGTGCCAATTCCCAGCTACTAGAATCAGTGCCTGTGAGTTTTAGATCCTTTTTACCAACTGCATTGAAATGTAATGCAGGGCAAATTACTGAACAGTGTCCCATGGCCAGCTCACCATACTTTTTGGTATAAGACTGTTAGCACGAATAAAAAATAGATTCCAAGGGAAATAACTCTTTCCTGTTTCAAACAGAGTACCTCCTTTTTGCCCCTGTCCAAACCACGCTAGTCATTTTCGTTGTCCTCTTATTACTGAGAGAAAAAACAAGAACAACATCTATTCCATACCTGAAGATGTCTGTAGGAACAGACAAAAGCTTGTAGTAAAAATAAGAACTAATGCAGCAGAAATTTATAGAAACAAGGATCTTTTCATTCATAACAGGTTTGGGGGTTTTTGTATATTATTTGAATTGTTTGCGACGATG